CTTACTTGCATGAGTACTGTGTGCATGCGCACGAAAACAGGTTATGCATCGAAAGGGGGTGTGTGTCGCACAGCCACAGTGACGCCACAGCCCCGCCGAGATGCTACGAAGCTCGAGCTGCCTGGCGCTGCTGCTCAACACTGCAGCTCGATGGATGAAGCTCCCTCCGACCTACCTGACCAGACCATAAACCACACCCAGCCATCACCACCGCCCATCCCGAATCTACGCCTCCGACCTTGCCTGCCGCCCTCCCGAATCCATCAAGACATACACCCACGCCGGCACCAGCATGTTCAGGAACAACTACGACAACGACTCGGTCACATTGTACGCGTTCCCTCCTACACCATGCCTGGCACGGCCACGGCCACGGCCACGCCCACCGCCGACCTCCCGCTAACACTGCGACAGTTCGCCCCAGGGCAGGATATTCCAGATCGAGTATGCCGCCGAGGCCGTCAAGCAGGGCTCCGTCGTTGTCGGCATCGTCAGCAAAACACACGCCGTCCTGGTCGCCGTCAAGGTATGCCTGCCTGCCCTGCCTATGCTGCCCTGCCCATGCTGCCTATGCTGCCCTGCCTATGCTGCCCATGATGCTCCGTTGCACGGCGATGCCATGATGCCACACCGCTAACACGCGCAGCGCAACGCCGAGGAGCTCTCCTCGTACCAGAAGAAGCTCTTCTCCGTCGACGAGCACGCCGGCATCGCCATCGCCGGCCTCACCTCGGACGCCCGCGTCCTCTCCAACTTTATGAAGCAGCAGTGCCTCGGCCACCGCATGACCTACGGCCGCTCGATGCCGCTGCGCGCCCTCGTCGACCTCATCGGCGAGAAGGCCCAGATCAACACGCAGATGTACGGCAAGCGGCCCTACGGCGTCGGCCTGCTCGTCGCCGGCGTCGACGAGACGGGGCCCCACCTCTTCGAGTTCCAGCCCTCGGGCATGACCGAGGAGATGTCCGCCTTTGCCATCGGCGCCCGCTCCCAGATGGCCCGCACCTACCTCGAGCGCAACGTCGACGCCTTTGCCGCCTGCAGCCGCGACGACCTCGTGCGCCACGGCCTGCGCGCCCTGCGCGAGAGCCTCGTCCAGGACCGCGAGCTGACCGTCGAGAACACGAGCATCGCCACCGTCGGCTTTGCCGACGGCAAGAAGCAGCTCGAGCCCTTCCAGGTGCTCGACGGCCAGGACGTCAAGGTGTGGATCGATGCTGCGGCCGCGCCAGCCGAGGGCGAAGGCGAGGGCGAGGGCGAGGGTGAAGGCGAGGGCGAGGGGGACCGCATGACGGTGGACGAGTAGGATGCCGGGGGCTACAGGCCGAAGGGACGGCAAGCATTGTACTAGTAGATGGCCGTAGAGGGAATGAGCCGTCATGATGCATCGTCTGTGCCTGCGCATCATGTCGGGCAGCGTGCTTTTGATTTTGTTTCACCTACTTCACGCTCACCATGACCGAAGGAGCGACAGTCCAAGCGCATGAGAAGGCGTCAGTCAGCCTAAGCCCTTGAGAAAAGGAGACAGAGAGAGAAAAAGTGTCATGGACCGAGAATGCCGTCTGTCTAGAATGCTACCGTACATAGAGGAAGCCTCGCGTCATGCTGCGTCATGCTACCCGTCATGCTGCCCGTCATGCTACCCGACCGAAACCTGTACGCCTGTTCCCGACACTCGTCCGGTACCCAGTCACCCTCAGGAGAAGGCAGGATCAAGACCATGGCAAAAACCGGAA